TGGCTTCATTAAAGGTCCAGTGTGGAACATTTAAGGAGGATCTATTGTCAGAAATGGAATATAATATTCATAGGTATGTTTTCATGAGTGTATTATCAGCTGAATATAGAAATTGTTGTGTTTTTGCTACCTTAGAATGAGCTGTTTTTACACCCTAGTGTCATTCCCAGGTTGTCATATACAGACGCGAGCTGTGTTCAGTTGGTTGCAATCTTCACTTCACTGCTAGATACCACTTTATCCTACACCCTGGTCCTTTTTAAGGGTAGGGATGCACCAGTACCGATACCAGCATTGGGCCCGATGCTCATGTCCTCGTAAATCATAAAACTACTCCGACACAGAACTCAACGACACTTTATGACAGTACTCATATCAGAACTCTTTATCAGCGGGTGCCCAAATGAAAGAACTTGTACCTGTATTTGGTCTGTAAAAAAGTGGTATCAGTGCATTCCTAGTTGATGGAAAGAATAGATACCTCATTCTAACCCTAACTAATGAAATGCATCAAACATTAGCGTTCAAGACAGTCCAAATATAACACATCCTTTAGGTAATCACTACCCACAGAGCTTCTTTGACTCCTTTATTTAAAGGTGTGTTTAGGCAGGCTATTTAGCTTAAAGGTGTGTAATAAGTTGCCTTAAATTTGCCATCTGGATGCCATGTGTGACTGTAATTTTGTGTGTGTGTGTGTGTTCCAGGGGAAGACAGGAGAGGAGAGGCAGCAGATGATCAAAGCCCTGAGAGAGGAGCTGCGTCTGGAGGAGGCTCGCCTGGTGCTGCTCAAGAAGCTCCGACAGAGTCAGATGCAGAAGGAGAACGTGGTGCAGAAGGTCAGTGCTGCTGCTGCTGACGCTGCTGAACACATCAGTAGAGCTCTCTCTGCCTGCTTTAACTTTACCTGAGTATTCCTACTTAATGCTACTTTATATTTCTACTCCACTGCATTTCAGATTCAGGTTCAGTATTGTGCTAAATATGTAAAGCCATTGGTTTGTTATTTCAGATTAGATGGTTACTGTAATATGATGATGTGTGATGGAGTAAAACAGGTGTTACAGATACACATTAGTATCACAGAAACCTGAGCTGTTAGTTACGTTGCTCTGTTAATTCTGTGTTGACGGTTGCGTTCAGGTCCCAGTGGTCCAGAACGCCTCATCCTCTGTGCAGCCTCCTCCCATCCACAGCTCTCCTGGCCTGGGGAAGCTGCCTGTGAGGCCGGGCCTGCACAACCCTGAGCCCCAGAACCTCCGCACTGCACAGGTAACCATTTCAAGTCAATTCAGTTTTATTTGTATAGTGCCGAATCATAACAAAAGTTATCTCAGGACACTCTACACCTCCAGAGCAAACAAGCCAACGCTCCTATCTGCTTCACAAATGGCGAAGTATAAATTTGGTCTATTAAACACTTAAGAAAATGGTGAAAGATGTTCACATTTGAGAAGCTGAACTTTGGACATTTTGCATTTTTTTAAAAAAAAGAAAAACTACTCAAAACAATTAATCTATTATTGAAATAGTTGGCGATTAAAGTAGGTAAATGTACTGCAGCTATCATTTAATATTGCCAACTAATCCATTTATCGTTGTAGCACCAGTAATCAGCTGATGTAACAGCATGATCACCTGGCTTCACAGTGTATCACAACAATATGAGTGAATCAGGTGGGGAAACTTGGCTCACTCTCAAATTAAAGGATCACTTCACCAGTTGTACTGACAGGTCAGTTTACTGCTCACGGTTAGTACAGCTCAGAAAAAGCAGTTGTATAATATAATGTCCAGTGTTCAGTTGTGTTTGAAAGACATGGGCATTTACCAGGCAGGGATGATCTAAGGAAAAGAAGCTATCCCATTATATTGTGGGAAATGTAGGATCTGTTGTTTTTGTAGCTCGACCCATACTAGGAAGTAAGAGTAACAGATTTTGGCTATTCTTTTCTGTCTCTTGAAAAGAGAGTCCTCTAACTTCATTGAAATGCTATTCTCAATCACTGGAGGGCTGCTTTCATCCTTGCGAGGCAGCTGGACTTACAAGATCATAAGAGAATTCATCTTGCCAGCCTTTAAGCTATGTGCTTGGGTCTAACCACAGTGGTTCGGGACCAATCAGGGTCCTTGGCGGAACCACGACATGAGCTACAGGCGTGGTTTAAAGTTAGGTGTGTGCATCATACGTCTGCTATAGAGGTTAGCTTAGATGCTGGTAGCATCAGTTATATCAGAACTGGAGGGTATTTCTGGTTTTCGCTCTTCTCCCGACTGGCTTCAGTAAGATTTTGACTACGTTATATGGTTAATTGTTCTGCAGTCAAGTTAGAATCCTTTAACAGGAGAAAAGGTGCTTGTCCAAGCTTGGTTTTGGGAGAGGGAAAAGATTTTTGTCAGCCTCTAGACTCTTTAATTTAAATTTGACTGTGCTTAGTCTTGGGTTTGACTTAAGTGGTCTTAACTACACCCCTGGAATTCCATTTGGAGGAATCCCAACAAACAACTAAGCACTGATGCATTTTTCAGAGGTGAACATTATCAATCTCTAGCCTCAGGTTCTCCAAAGGTCTCATCATCCCACATATTTCCTCACGCCCTGTAGAGCCAGAGTTCTGCTATGTGAGCTCGGGGTAAAGGTTCAGGTTAAATTAGGATGAAGAGATGAATGATTGCTGTGGATTGACAGTTGGACTGGGTTTTAGTTTAGAGAAGGAATGTGTTAGTGGAAGGTCCTGCTCTGATTGCGAGAAGCCTTTTGTTCTTGCATGACGTAGCCCTGCTCCTCCATTACATGTAGAGATTGTATTAAATATTCAGCAGATCTCTGTGGTTATGGATGGCTCTGCGTGTGTCTTTGTGTGTGTGTGTGCTGGATTGTCTTTATCAGCTTGTTTTGTATGGATGGTAATGTTCCGCCTCACCATGCAGCTGCTGCCCTCTACTGCCCACACTGTGAATAATATCTGTCTTAACACTTGCACACACTTTAATATAGATGATCACTAATCCTGGCGTGCTAATGCAACAACCCTGCAATGAGGTTCTAATAAATTGCATTATTATTACCGTTGTTATATTATTTCTAAATCTAATATCCTATCCATATCTCTTGCTAAATTGTATTGTCATACTGATAGGCGTTTCTAATAATTTGTTCATGTAATTTTTATCAGTGATTAAAGTCTAAATTTTAGAGACACCTCTCTAAAACCAAAAACTGAACATTAGAACTAATGCAGGACTGTCTGATCAGACATTGATCAGATTTTTAGCTATGTGGACCTGATAAACTGGACACACAGTGTACTACGTTTTTTCAAAGTTACCTACTGCAACTTTAAGACAAACAAAATTGTGCGATTGAACGTGTTTGTTTTTTTCTGCAAAAGTATAATTTTCGCTTGATTAAATATTCTAGAATCAATGAATATGCAATATGGTTAAATCCATCAGAAACATAAACACAACCTGAGGGCTGGGATGTTGGATGTTACTGTGATAAATACAAATGCAAATCGCACTGTTCTGGTAGCATAAAAAACCAAAGATTTTATGCATATGGTGTGTTCTTCATACTGTGACTGATCGTATGAATTAATTATTTGTATTGCAAAAAATTGCGATGTATCGCCTTGCTTACAGTATCACAATATATTGAATCATAACCCCTGATTGTATCGGATGTATCATATCGCCAGATTCTTGCCATTACACCTATTTATTAGAGTGCAAAATAACTTTTTTTATTGACTGATTAACATTGATTAACAAGTCAGTCCTCAAACTGTGTTCGCTTGAAGAACATAATAAGCCGAATGAGGATTAACAGGTCCTTTTTAGCCTGATAACTACTCCAGGCTAACATGTTGTTAAGCCACATCTGAAGAACAGCCCTGGTAGCCGAACACACTGAGATGACGCATCACTCTGTTGGTGCTGTTGGACCGTAAAAACCAAAGTCCACTAACCGCTGTGGAATGTAGTGTTTCTTTTTTTCCATAAGCAGTCTCGCTGATGAGATGGGAAGCCTCCAAAGTCCTGGGATTTTTTTTTTACCATGTGCACACAAGATAACCAGACTACAGCCAAGTTTCATCAAGTTACTTACCAAATCCACATTAATTAGCTACAGCTGACAGAATGAATATATATACAGTAATAGCACTGCTGCACTGTCACCCCACCACCTACTCCTTTGTTTTTCTTCCCTTCTGCAGGGTCACACAGTCATCAGGTCAGCAGCCAATGCCAACCTGCCGCCCATGCTGATGTCCCAGCGAGTGATAGCCCCCAACCCTGCCCAGCTGCAGGGCCAGAGGGTCTCCTCCAAGCCCGGAATGTCTCGCTCCAGCTCCAGCAGCATGGCCAATGCCGTCAGCTACCAACAGGTACGGATTCATACCACGCCTGGCTAACCGCTCCCAGCTCTGCTCTGTATTTAGTAGTGTCACACTGTGTTACTCTCTGTATGTGTGCAACAGAAATGGCTTGTTTTAGAGATGATTGTGATTTTAATTGAACAAAAATAAGTAAGAGCTGCGTGAGTGGGAGAGAGCAGAACATCCAGTCGAGCTCACCAGACTGAAACAGGTACTGCATCACAGAAGTAAGAAAACCTCTTACAGAATCACATTGTACCAACATAAATTACTAATTAAATTATTAATAAGTAGTGTTTCTTCCTTGTAACAGCATGTAACACCATTTCCCTAAAGATTTCCCATTAGAGGTTCTCCATGTGTTGACAGTTCTTGATCTGATGAGGAACACTGTCAAGACTTAACGGTGCCAGACAAAAGCCAGAGCATTCCTGTGAGCTATCAGTACAGTGTGCTGATGTTTTGTTTGACATCAGACATCACTTAATTAATTCTAAAAAAGGGAAGACTCTACCCAAAAATGGATCTGTCCAGATAGACCTGTATCATACTGTAAGCAAGGCAATATATTGAAAACTGTTAAAGTATAAACAACACATCACCTTATGGATAAAATCTGAGTAAAAGAACAACATACTTATTATGCAAACAGAACAGTGGCATCTGCCTCTGTATTTATCACAGTCCCTGTAACATTCAACATCGTAGCCCTCTGTCTTATGCACTACTGTCAGAACGCACTGAAGATTTCAGCAATAATGACAACTGAACCTTTCTCATGACTTGACTTTGATAAGCAAATTATTTTTATTTTATTTTTTTATATATATTTTTGTTTATGTGACAGTAGTGTTCAAACCTTAAAAATGTGACTTTTAATAGTTTGCTAACCAATAGATAAATGTGTGTCTTCCTGCAGGCCAGCCAGCAGGTGGCAGCTTCCCAGCGCTCAGGCTCCAGTGCCATGTACATGAACCTGGCCCACATGCAGGCAGCGGCGGCGGCAGGGGCCCAGGGTGGCCTGGGCGGTGCTTCGGCCGTCAGCCCATCCACAATGTCCGGCTCGGCCAGCGGAGGGGTGAGCTCCATGGCTGACCAGGCCAGCAGCCAGGCAGCAGCCAAGCTAGCCCTGAGGAAGCAGCTGGAGAAAACTCTGCTGGAGATCCCTCCACCCAAACCCCCGGCCCCGCTCCTTCACTTCCTGCCCTCTGCCGCCAACAGCGAGTTCATCTACATGGTGGGCTTGGAGGAGGTGGTGCAGAGCGTGCTCGACAGTCAGGGTAAGCACCAACATCACTCTCACAATTCAGATCGATCTCTTATAGTCTGAACTTAAAGCTTGTGAGATCAAACTGATGGATAAAGTAAGCACAGGTATATAAAAGGTCATTGTTTTTGACAATGTACCAACCTTCTCTTACCTTCTTTACTGTAAGCACTACTGTTGGCTAACGTACAGTCTTTCTCTGTAGGTAAACTCAGAGGGACGCTGGCTCGCATGGAGCCTTTCTTCTGCGCCCAGTGCAGAACCGACTTCACCCCACACTGGAAGCAAGAGAAGAGCGGGCGAATCCTCTGTGAGCAGTGCATGACGTCCAATCAGAAGAAAGCTCTGAAGGCGGAGCACACCAACAGGCTGAAGAACGCCTTTGTGAAAGCCCTGCAGCAGGAGCAGGTCAGCACTACTGCCCCTGTATTCCTTTTATTCTTTGATGTAGTTAAGAAGGATTGTTATTTTGGTATTTGAATTAAATGTTTCATATAATATTAGCACACAAAATATCATCATCATTCTACCACCTAGCCTACATGCTAGCTTTTTGTATATGATTTATTTTACAGTAGTCTATGGTTGTGCTTTTAAAGATGCAGTAGGTAACATTTTATGAAAATAACTTCAGGCCAGGTGGATTCTTGCAAATATGTTGGTTTTTTTTTTTAAAGTAATTTTTCTAAACGTTATATACTGAAGCTTTGAGGAATGGATATGAGAGAGAAGAACTGTGAAAGTGCAAACCATGAGTCATTTAAAGTAGCTTTTAGGACCATGAGCACTGCTGGTCTTTACAGTCACCATCTAACAGGGGCCGATGTAGACCTGGGATGCCAGGTGAGTATGGCGTCTGGAACCACTAACTTGGGTTCTTACACAATGCATTCTCTCAAAAACACTCCTGAGCTCAATGTATTTCAGTAAACATATACAGGCAGAAAGCACTGTGCTGCTCACACAGCACATTGTGTTTTTAGTGCACCTTGGGTTTTTTGTGTCTGGAGCCTGAGACTGACATTTTTGAAGAGTTTTCTCAGTTTTGTTGCTCTGCCAAAAAGTCATAAACTCAGTTGTCTAACAGCGATTTCAAACCACCATTTGGCCACAAAGGAGTAGATGAATGTATGATTGTATGTGTATGAATGACTAATTCATGTTAATTCCTAAATGTGCGTCCTGCCTCCATATCAGGAGATTGAACAGAGGCTGCAACAGCAGGCGGCCCTCTCTCCCAGCTCGGCCCCTACAGGCCCCAACGCCTCCAAGACTGACTCAATGATCCGACATCATGCTCTCCGCCAGGTACACGTGCCTTCACTTATGTTATAATAGTAGTATGTTTGTCTGCCGGCAGGTTTGGAAGAGAGATGCAACAATTAACTGTAAACCTATTACATTTATATTTTTATAATAATAATTAATTAATCACTTATTATTTTGATAATAGATTCCTCTTTTTTTATTTAATGGGCAATTGAGTAGTCTATAAATGTCACTGCTCCTTACAAGTTAAGAGCCCACAAGGATTAAAGCTGCCGTAGATAACTTTTTAAGTTTTTTTTTTTTTCATATTTTCTGAAACTTTCTCTATATCCTGACAGTAGTACA